CGAAAATAAACCGGTATACAGTATGTTGCTTGTGTTGAGACTTGCTTATATGTATGAATAACTGTCAAAACCACAAAAATTTAATCAGCAACTACTGAATGGAAGTTAATTTCACAAAATATTTTTCTCTACCAAATTCTATAGCTATATACACTATATGGCAGCAAATTTGTTTTGTGTTCTTTAAAAATAACTAAAGATTTTAAAAATTGTACTACACTACTTGCTAGCTATGATTGAAAATTATAGTAGTAAATTTTAGCATTTCATTCTGGATGTTTCCATTAGCCATGGCTTTGTCTTTGATGTAGCCTTTACACTGACTTTGAAGTACAGACTATCATTTTCGAGATACTGACAATTATTGGATTTGTATGCATGTGATATAAATTTATAAGAACCCCATCCTGCTGTGTATGGATTGGGTTGTTCATGTGGTGATGATATTTTTAGTTTGAAAGTTTGCTTCCAATGATTCTTATCCTCCAGTTGATTCAGTAGTTCTATAGTAACTTCTCCTTGAAATGGCCACTCCAATGTATCATCATATTCTCCTGCCATGAGATATATGTAGCAAGAGACGTGTGTACCTTTACCATCACCTTCTCCATTAGGATCAACCCCTAAAGACATCTTATATCCTCCTGGTGATGTGTAGAATTCTGGGCTATACCAACGTTCATCTCCTTTTTTCTTTAAAGTAAATTGGTTTAGCTTAAATACTTCACTTGATGCTGTTACCATTGCCAATTGTAGTCGTTCATTTGTTACTTTTAGTTGCTCTTTTGTCAGTTGTAGGTGTGTCATTATTGATTTTTCATTATGGTTGTCTTGTTCTTCTCTCTTCATTTTCTTATTACATCCAACAGTATTGTATTCACATGGTACGATAGCTTTAGGGCAGGTCTCATTGTGAGATGCTAATGAACGTCGTGGTATCTTCTCATTGCAACCTTCATTGCTGCATTGGATTGGGAGGTCAGGACATTCAGTAAGATGACTGAGGCTTACTATCAATTTGTGTGTGCTTCTTTTGTTACAATACTGACAGCTAACAATTCGTTTAGGACAGTTATTTGTCAGATGTGTCTTCAGTTTACTTCTCCTAATCTTCTCTCCACACTCATTAGTGCAAGGTACCAGTTGATAGGTACAACTATTAAGATGAGTGTCAATATCCTTAATAGTCCCCATCCATTGGCACCCACTATCAATGTTAGTGCAATAAACCTTAAGTGACTTTATTCCTCGTTCTGCTCTTCCATCTTTAAAGTACTTTCCTTCTAGTGAGCTACGACAAGTTGGGCAGATAAACCCTTGGTCCTTCCTCTTTAGTGTATCCAGGCAGCTCTTACAGTATATATTGGAGCAGCAGGTAACTTGCTGAGGATCCTGTGCTACCAATGTACAGATATGGCACAGATACTCATCAGGAAGATAACGATCGACAAACTTATAGCTATAACCACCATAACAAGCACCATCAGCAGTAGCCATTGTAGAATTGATCATGTGAGAGTTTGTATTATAGACTAGTTATTTACCTATAGTTATGCAAACAAATTACTTATAAGGTATATATAATATATTGTATTATAGGAAGCCATAAGATGAAATGGCCACGCTATGGTATATGAGTGATATACCATGTTACTCCCGGGTTAATAATAGTATATGAAGCAAAATCACGGGTTATAAATCTATTATGGGCATCTTATACCTTTCTGCATAAGTTTGTCGTGCAATTTAGTTTTTTATTTAAGTTTAATTTCTCATTGGTCATGGTAGCGCTGACTTGTACATGTATTTATAACGTACAAATGTTATACATGTATTAATGCAACTTGCATTCAGAGATAATTTTTAAAGCTTTTGCAGGCTAATTTGTTTTGCCCTTTTCAAAATTTAACTTTTGTAGTTGTACATTTTAATTACTACATCATTGAGTGCCCACTCATAGACAGGCTAAGACAGCACATAATGGAAATTGTCTGTGTACATCACTTCATCATAGATGATATAACTAAGCCCTGTTCTTTAGAGTTGTGGCACAAAGTTTTCTCAAAATGGCATCCAAGAGGGTAGCAGTTGGTA